AATATAACAGAATTGTTCATGTATTATGTAGGGAATGTCAGTGAAGCGTATAAAAAACATGATATAAAAGCAATGCAACATTCTTTTGGAGTACCCTTTCTCAGAAATTTAAAATACGATGAAGTAACTATACAATTACTGGCACCAGATGACAAGATAGTACGCGGTATTTTTGATAGCAGTAAACGAATACCATACGATTTATTTGTCTTTTATTACCCTGAAAATTCAACTGCCGATTTTTATGCATTAATGCGAGAAGATTACACTGCAAAATTAATTAAAGAGTCAGATGATCCTGAAGGTTTTCAAAAGAAAACTGGTCTCAATGTTCAAATGTTACTGCAACATCGTTTTCATAGAATAAATTTAAAATCATCCGAACAAACAATGGAATCATTTTGGGAAAATTTTATAACCTATAAACAACAAAGACTAAAATCATATCTTATATTTTCAAGTGGCAGATCAACATTGGGTGAATGGTGGAAGGAATTTGGATTAACTATGGTACCATTATATACATGTTTGGTATCAACAAACGAAAAAAGTCTTAAAGAAAAAATTTGCCTAATGGATGAAATTAATTTTTCACAAAAATTGACTGAGGATATGACTGCAATATTAACAGATGGAGATACACGAAAATTTTTAAAATCACTAGACACAACATTTAAAAGTGTACAAATCTTTTCAATACTTAATCAAACATATTCACCAATTAAAGAACCAACAGATATTGATCTTATAAAGAAATTTGTATTACACTTTGGAGAACCTGGTTTTGAACTAACATTCATGAAAGAGAAAGCCATAATATTGATACTAACAGTCCTTAATACTCTGAAAAAAAATCTTGACGATTCCTTTTTGTATGTTAAAAATATTATCAACAATATGTTACTGTTGAAAACTAGAGATTCTAAATCAATTAGCTACGTAGGAGAACAAAGTCAAAATTTGATCGTAAATACTGAAAATATCCATGGCGATACTGGTTTTGGTTACAGATATAAGCATTTGTCTTTCAATAAAACTGCACAATTACGAACTAATTATCAAGATAAAAAACAAATATTCGTAACGCTATTCAATAATTCAGTCAGTGAAAAGCTATACGTTAATGCCGAAAATTGGAAAAATGATAATTTGTCCTCTCTACTGTACGAAACCAATAATCATCTTAAACCCATAAGCACAAAAATTTTATTTTCTGGATCATCTGTACATGCTTTCAACTATAAAAACTGTGAAATTCAATCATACCTACAACATTCAGCACCTCTACATGGATGTCGCCGATTTTCTCGTTCCCGTAAGAGGGACATTGATCTAAATAGTTGTTTAAAATTAGCCTTATCAAGAAATGCGAATCTAACAAGCGACATAGTATTAAAAATATTGGAAAAATATCTATTTCCAACAAGTGAGGGAATTGCTAAACAATTTATAATGGATTGGACAAATACTACAGATTTAAAAATTCCCGAATGGAGTAAAAAATATATCATCACAAACTATCCTCTTCTCTCTAAATTAAGAAACGATTTTCATCTTGACGATAGTAATTTAACAAACTTTGATGGTGAATTAAAAATTGATATAATTTACACATTTAAAGAAAGACAACCCATTGAAAATGGAATTAACGTACAAAGTATAATTAAAAGTTTTAATGATCAACAAGCACGTTATGTTGCAAAATTTGAAGATTACTATGCTATACGAAACTTTGCGACAACAGGATATACAAGAATAACAGAAGATACAATTGAAGCGAGAATGATGAAAAAGGCCTTATATAAATTAGCAATTAGACAATCAGACGATCCAAGCAACGAATTTAATAAAATTTTATATAGAATTGAATCCAAACCATTAGAAATTATTAAAAGAACAATAAAATTTAGTAAATCTATTATTTTCAAGAAATTTACTACTGCATTCGTAAGTAAAGAAATTGCCATGAAATTGGTCCCATTACCAGCAACTGGATTTGGAACCATTTTATACGAAATTAATTTTTCTAATAACTACGTAAGAGCAAAAATATTGAAACATTTTTTAACTGAGATAGAAGAAATAATTCTTTTACCTGGAAGTGAATTTGAAATTATAGAATATACAGATACTTTTATTAAAGGATTAGGAAATAGTTTGATTTTAAAACTTCGGTACGTAAGCGATGATAATGATAAAATCAAATGGTACCAAAATATCATGAATGAAATACAGAGTATTAATTCTAAGTGATTCAAAAAAAATTTATGATTTAAAAAATTTGTTTATTACATATTTATTCAAAAATTGAACTAATTTAAAAAAAATTCAAGTATACATTTTTCAAGGACTAACTTCTTCAGAATTTTTAATTAAAAATATTTACCAATAATTGTAAATTTTAATTTGAAATCATTCAGGGTGGTCACAAGTTTCAGTTTATCAATTTCCCTGAAATTTTCCTAACAATTTACTGACATTAAAATTATTTTCCCTGACAAAATTCTATTTACAGGAAAATAAGTAAAATTTATTAAAATTTAAAAAATCCTAAAAATTATTATAAATATAACCCTTCATGAATTCAATTATTTTCTTTTCAACTAAACTTCATCTCTAAATAAATTATTTTAAATAATTTTCCGAAAGTTCTTCGAGAATTCAATTATTTAAATCCAAAAATTCAATTTTTTATAATAATTGTAACTGTCTTAGTTTTTTTTCTTATAAGTTATTAATGTACCTATATTTTCATAAAACTATAATAAAGAAAATTTAAAATTAATTTTTTAAAAATGTTTTTAAATATTTTTTGGAAAATTATTAGTTTTTCAATTATCCTATTGAATTGAAAAATTTCCAAACAATTCAAATTTGGTAAAATATTTTAAAAATAATCTAATTTTTAAAGAATTTTATATAATTATAAATATGACTATGATTTCTCAAAAATTTTAATAAGCCTAAAAAAGAAATTTTTCATAAATTTTTATTTACTTTGTTTAAAGATAATTGAATCTAAAAAAATTATGATAATTCTAAGAATTAGTTTTTAATATTTAAAAATATTTTAATGTAATTTTTCGAAAATAATTGAATTTCTTAAAAGAATTTTTATATAATTCACAAAAACTAATTAATTTTTTAATGAATTTTAATTAAAAATTTTGAACATGATTTTTTTCTCCAAAATATTAAAAATAGTTCTAAAATGTTATTATTTTTTATATGTTTTTGAATTTTCGGAAATATGTAATTGAAAGTACTGAAAATATTGAATTTTAAAAAATTAGAAGTTAATTTTCATTAATTTTTATTTTTAAATGTTCATTTAAAGATTTTTCATTAAAATTTTTGACAATTCAATTATTTTCAAAATTTTGGAATTAAAATTCTTCCAAAAGTTGATTTTTTAAAATTGTAAAAAAATATTTGAAAAAAATTACTTATTTTCAATTAAATTTTACAAAATTTCAATTATTCAAAATGATTTTTATAATTAGACAAATGTGAAAGATTTGTTTACAATTATTTTTCGAGAAAGTCGCAATTTTTTTAAATAAGTCGAAAAAAGCCTCAATTTTCTTAATTCCCCTGACAAAAAATTTGTTTTCCTGCCATTTCCCTGTCATTTGATATTCAATTATTTATAAAAATTACTGCTGTAAATTCTCCAAAATTATTTTCATATTTCATAATTTTAATTCATTTATTTATTTTCTATATAATTTTCAATTAATATTAAATTAAAATTATTTAAAATTCTTAATTTCAATTTGAAATTTTCGAAATTCAATTATTTAAAAAGAACTGTAATTCCTACTCTTATAAAAATAAATTATTTTTGGAATTTGTAATCAAAATTATTCATTAAATAATTTATGAATAATAATTTTATGATAAAATTTAATTACTTTAAATTAACTCAATTTCATATTTTGTAAAGTTCAATTATTGTCAAGCAAAATCAGCTTTGATAATATAATATAATAAATGAAAATTTAAGTTTAAATGCTTAAATTTTGTTAAATTATTAAATTAGTATTAGTAATATTATCTAATATATTGATAATTTAAACAAAACATCACAACTATACTCACACTCACGTGCTGGGAATTAAAGGTTATGTTCACCTCCGAATTTTTCAAAAATCATCCAAAAAAACTACTGCACTATAATATTTTGGTATATGTAATACTCATCATTCTTCTGCACTTTATTTATTTTATGTGTAAAACAACTGTAAATAGAAAACTCGGAAAATAAAACGAAAATTTACTTGCAAAAAAACACGCGTTGTCTTCAGCGACGACGATGCACCATCAACTTTCTTTTAAAAATCATTCACTACTTTCAATTATTTCTGCTATTAATTCACGACTATTCACATTCACGAATATTAAAATTTGTAATGTTTTTATAAAATATAGTTTTGAACACACGAATTAAATGCTTTATTTATTTACAATAAAGTAGATGTACGATGAAACCAGTGAAACACAGAGAATTCTACAAAGTTAAGTTTGAAGCAGTTTGAAGTTAGAAGACTGACATTGTAACCAACTACAAGAAAATAAAAATTATAAATAACAACAGTTTTTTAAAAAAGAACTATCCTTTCTGTATATTATTTATCCTTCACGAAATTTAAAAGTAATTTATTTATCACTTTTATTTTTATGTTAATAAACAATACACTTTTTAAGAATATTCTTAACAATTCAGAGGTTATTATTTTTTGTTGGCAACATTGTTACGTACTACCACCCACTTCCGTTTGATTTTTAATTTTAAATGAAAATAAAACAGATTTTTAATATCTTTCGTAATTAAACCTAATATACTAGATTAAACAAAGTAAACAATACATTTTACAGAAAATAATTCTCATCTCTATAATAATAAATTAAATAATCGAAATTGATTATACTTTTATTATTTACGTCAAAGAATTGAACACATAGAGTATTGATAAAGTAGATTTCTTCTCTAACCATTAGTGTCTTGCCGTGCTGTAACGTGCTCTCTGTCTTTGTATATAAAAGTATCTCCCATGTGTTTTATGTTTTTTAATTTTGTTTTTTATGACAAAAAAAAAGAAATTAATTTATTTTAGAAATGTCTAATTCTCTCGTTCAAAAGAGTCTGGATATACTAGATTCCGAAAAAGTAGTTAAACAAGGTAAGTTTCCTTCAAGGTTAATATCAATATTTCTCTTTAAGTACAATAATCAATAAATAAACAACTATTCGATTATTAATTAACGAAAATAATGAATAAATAATTTTATTGACTCTTGCAGGGAAAATAAGAAAAGCAGACAAGGGAGTATTGGATTTAATTCCAGTCAATCATAGACTAACCTCAAAGCGGAGCAAGTCACGTATGTTTTTAAGGTTTTTAATTTTACTAATTTGCATATCTATAATAATTTGTTACAAATTCTAACCAAAATCAATAGTAATTCACTATGTATATTTTTAATTGTTATATTGATGAATATATTTTACAGTAAAAGAATTATTAAACTACAAATTTAGAAATGAGACGACAACAACTGTCAAAAATTAAAAACCCAAAATTTTATTTGCAGGTAAAGATATATTGAAAAAACCAAAAAGAGTCACTGTTTATCAGGCTAAAAAGCAATTAGAAGTGAAGTCGGACCCCATTGCAGAGAATATTAAAACACTTCTTTACTTTAGCAGAACTTCCTTTGATTCCAATACAGAAGAAAAGGTAAATTGTCATCGATTTAAATAAACTAAAATTTAATACAGTAGAACCTGTCGAAATGCGCAACTCAATTTTTTTTATTTTATTACAGTAGACAATGTTTGCAAAATTATTGCATAAATGAATTTTATTATATTTTACAATATTCTGGAACTGACAAGGCAATTAGACAATATTGAAAATTGTAAAAAGATTGCAAAAATTGAGTTGCATTCAAACAGATTCTACTGTAATAATCTTGTAATACAAACAAAATATTAAATAATTATATTATTTATTTAACAGGGTTGCTACAAAAATTTAATTTTGTTTTTCCCTGATTTCCAGACAAATTTTTTTCTTTTTCGTTTATTCAATTAATTAATTAATTATATATTAGAAAATAGAAACATGAAATAATTTTTTTAAAAATTCAGTTAAACTTTTTCAAAAAAATTAATTCTCCAAAATTTTTAGTTAAAAGTATGAAAAATTCAGATTTTCAAAGATTTGCCCAGTGATAAAATCATTATTATTTTATATTATAAAAATATTGTACTTCTTCAAAATTATTTCCACCATTTCAATTCAATTATTATTGTCAAGAATATTTAACTAAAATGCTTCCTTAAATCGATTATTTTTAATAATTTTCGAAAAAGTTCTTACAGAATTTTCAAATCCATTATTTTTAATAATTTTTGAAAAAGTTCTTTGAGAATTTTCAAATTCATTTCTTTATAATTCAATTTTACAAAATTTCAATTATTCGGAAATTCTTCAATTAAATATAATTATATTAGAAAAAAAAACTTCAAATAATTTTTAAAAAATCCGCAATTGAACTTATTCAAAACAATTAATTTCACAGAATTGTTAGTTCAAAATTTAGAAGATTCACATTTTCAAGGATTTTAATTTGAACCCTTTCAAAATTCAATTATTTATAAAAAAAATCATGCTATAATGCTTTTAATATTCAATTATCTAAAATTTTAACTGAAATTCATTTTTAAATCAATTTTTATAAGAAAGATTTAAAAGATAAAATTTTTCTAAAAAGAATTTTACTATTTATGAAAATAATTGAATTTTTGCGAATAATTGAATTATTAAATTGTATTAAAAATAATTGAAATCCTGCGATGAGTTTTATTATTTATGATAATAATTAAATTTCTAAAAAGAATGTTATTATTTATGAAAATAATTGAATTATTGAGAAGAAATTTATAAAACATATGTAAATAATTGAATTTCTGTGAAATTTTTATGATAATAATTAAATGCTTGCGTACAATTTTATCAGAATTTCTATTAACCAATTGAATTCTTTTGGAAATTTTTTGAAAATAATTGAAATTTTGACAAGAATTTTATTTAAACTAGCAACATATACCTCACTCGCTAACGCTCGTTCGGTTGTATTTAAACTTATTAGTTTTTACTTATTTTTTTTTTTTTATTTGAACTAAGTAAATATTTACTGGACATAAATATTTTAATTTATGGTATCTATTAAATAGTTATTTGAACCAAATACAAATTACTTAAGTCAATTAAATAGAATAATTTAATTTAATAAATATTGCTTTAAATCAATTATAAAAATTACTTGATTAAATAATGCATAGTTTTTAATTAAAATAAATATTTATTTGCATCAATAAAATAATTTTTTTGAAATAACTAAACTTAGAAGGTTAGATTTTGAATGTTAGCCTGATTCTCTGAATAATTAGTAAGAAAAGGGCGAAGATACGTCCATTCTTTTCTTACTAATAGGATTTTCTGTAGGTAATGATCAGGGTGTTTTTTTGAAATTTTTACTGCACTATTCTTACGCATGTCACCGTCACCAATATTGTTACAATATATATTGTAACAATATTGTTACAACAAAGTCTAGACTTTGGGTTTTTGCAAGTCTAGACAATATAGTTGTATAATAATATAAATTTTTCTTTCTAAACCAGAATTTGAACATTTACAAAATTAAAACCTTATAGTGGTTAGAAAATGTAAAAAATTATTAATATTTATAAAAATATAAATTATTTTATTTAAAATCATTGTGTAATAAGACAAAAATTATGAAGTGACATTTACAAAAAATGTCATTGTACATTATACGAAATGTTATTTTTACGTATTCTCTTACTAAACCTTTCATTTTCGTCCGCTATCCAGGATTCGCCATTTTGTATTTTTAAAAAGTGACTTTGGATTCATAATCAGTGGAATTTTACTGAAAATCAGTTGAAAAGTACTAAAATATCAGTCATTCTTCACTGATTATTATTTTATTGTGATTTATTTATTAATATTGTAAATTTCTGTCAAACAAATAATTTTACTAAAAGTCAGTTGAAAATTACACTTACAGTAGTGTTTCATTCGAGCAACACGATCCGAGAAACGAACAAAAAACGATTTTCTTTTTGTTTTGATAACCAAGCTGTCATGTTCGCTCGTCTTATTGAAGTAAATTTTCATAAATGTTTATTTACATTATTCGAAGATAATTAAATCTTAAAAATTACTATAAAAAAATTCTAATAATATTAGTTTTTAAAAATATTATAATGTTATTTTTCGAAAATAATTGAATTTCTTAAAATAATTCTTATATCCTAATTTACCTTTAAAAATTTTTTTTAAATTTTTGGTAATTCAATTATTTTCAAAATTTGCAATTAAAATTCTTCAAAAAATTGTAACAAAATACTTGAAATAAATTAATTATTTTCAATTAAATTTTGCACAATTTCAACTATTCAAAAAGGTTTCTATTGTAGACATATTTGAAAAATTTAATTGTGTTAAAAAATTATTCAAAGAAATCTAAGTATACTTATTTTTAATTATCTATAACTTAATCTATTGAATTTAGAAAAATTACATCAAGAGGACAAAACTTTGTTCTTTCGTCTACTTTTGAATAATGTTTAGAAAACTAAATTTTTATTAATGTTTATTAAAAAATTATTTTATACCTAAAAATGTTAAATTTTTTTAATTTAGGCATGATTACAATCACAGGCACACAAAAAAAAGTTGTCTGTTCATTGAACAAGACCTACATGTCTTATAGTATTTTGGCCCCCTGAATACGAATATGAAGTCAGAATTGCTCCAGCACCCTCTGTTTTTTTTAAATCGAAAAAACTACCCTTAAGTCTAAAATTCAAGAATTAAAGTAAAAAAAAATAAAAACACGGCTTTCTTCGGAGTAGAAGAATATATTTGTGCGTTTTCTTCTTTCAACAACTCAAATAATGTCAAAATTGCTCCACCACCCCTGTTTTTTTAAATAGGAGAAACTACCCTTAAATCTAAAATTCAAGAACTAAAGTCAAAGAATGAAATAACCACTTTTTTGCGAAGTAGAAGAATATATTTATGCGTTTTCTTCCTTCAACCACTCAGAAATATTGTCAAAATTGCTCCACCACCCCTGTTTTTTTAAATGGGAGAAACTACCCTTAAATCTAAAATTCAAGAACTAAAGTAAAAAAATATGAAATAACCGGTTTTCTTAGGAGTAGAAGAATATATTTATGCGTTTTCTTCCTTTAACCTCTCAGAAATAATGTCAAAATTGCTCCACCACCCCTGTTTCTTTTAAATGGGAGAAACTACCCTTAAATCTAAAATTCAAGAACTAAAGTCAAAGAATGAAATAACCAGTTTTTTTGCGAAGTCGAAAAATATATTTATGCGTTTTTTTCTTTCAACAATTTAGAAATAATGACGAAATTGCTCCATCACCCCCTGCCCTTAAATCTAAAATTCAAGAATTATAGTAAAAAATGATATAACAGGTTTTTTCCAAAGTAGAAGAATATATTTATGTACTTTTTAAAAAAGCATCAGCATTGCTTCATCACCCTCTTATTGATTTATATTGAAAAAACTACCCCTTTAAGTATGAACCCAGAGTATACTAACAACAATAAAAACAATTAGTTTTAGACAAAAGCATACGTTCCTTTATTTTTGTTCTCATAACTAAAAAGCAGAATCAGAGTTAATTTATCATTATTTGTTGTTGAAAGAAGAAAACGCATATTCTTCTACTCCGAAGAAAACCGGTTATTTCATTTTTTTTCACTTTAGTTCTTGAATTTTAGATTTAAGGGTACTTTCTTCGATTTAAAAAAAAGTAGGGGTGGTGGAGCAATTTTGACATTATTTGAGTTGTTGAAAGAAGAAAACGCATAAATATATTCTTCTACTCCGAAGAAAGCCGTGTTTTTATTTTTTTTTACTTTAATTCTTGAATTTTAGACTTAAGGGTAGTTTTTTCGATTTAAAAGAAAACAGAGGGTGATGGAGCAATTCTGACTTCATATTCGTATTCAGGGGGCCAAAATACTATAAGACATGTAGGTCTTGTTCAATGAACAGACAACTTTTTTTTTTTAATAATAAAAATTAAAAATAATTATTTTTAATTTTTATTATTTAAATACACAATTAAAAATAATAATAATACTCCGCAAAAAAGCCCAACTAATAGAAAAATAAAAAAGTAGGTTAATTTTAAATTTAGATCCAACTATTACAATGTTATAGATTTATTAAGTAATATATAACAAGTAATATTATATATATTTCTCTAAATAAAGATGTCTATTGACTTTTTAAAATTGATTTTCTTAAAAATTTCTTTATTAAAAGTATTAATATTTAAATTTTATACCTAGTAATTGCTGTTTTAAAAAATCAATCCGGGAATATTTATTTTTGGTCCGGGAATTTAAAAATAATAATTCACTAGACACCTTGAATTAATTTTTAACTTGATATAATAATTTTAATTCACTAAAATGAATTTAATTTTAGTTTTTAATAGAATTAATAAAAAAGAATTTAAATGTTTTTGGATATCGATTTTTTTCAAAAAATAGGTTATTATTGTATTATTTTTAGTTGTCAGTTATGGGAAAGTCGAGAAGCAGTCGAGAAGTTCGGTCGATGACAATTAGAAAATTAGACGATACGATTTGACAATTAACAAAAGAATAAACAAGATGATCGTTTGAAAACCAAAGACGATAACCAAATAATCGCTCGAAAAAATGAAATTCTCGGATCGAAGTGAAACACTAACTTACAGAAATATAAGTCATTTTTCACTGATTATCCATTTAAAAAATTATTGTTGATGTCTGCCAAACAAATACAGGGTTGCCACGGACCTGGAAAACCTGGGAAACCCGGAATTGTCATGGAATTTTTTTTCAGTCATGGAAAACCTGAAAAATCTGGAATTGTCAGGGAATTTTATAAAGCCTGATACTAAAAGCTCAATTTTTTGTATTTGAGTCGTAAAAATTTCAAGTTTTCAAGTTGACATACAACTTTTTGATTTTAAATTTAGTGCTTACAATTGAAATCAATATGGCATTTCTAAATTTTAGTTTCTTTTGGTCTCTATCTTCCTTTAAATAATTTTTAAATTAATACATTTTAGAAACCCCAAAATGTTATGAAACTGAAGCTACCAACTTTTATGCAATGAAAATTTTTTCTTTTGCTAATTGTTTTTTAATGTAAGAAGCCCTTTAAAAAATTGCAATCGAAAAAAATTGCTTCTGAAGCAAGGAAATAATAATTTAGTTAAAATTTCGGGATATTTGGAAAATCTACGAAAAAATAATTAAAAATCACTAATTTCCTTGCCTTCCTTAGATCCTCTTACAATTTTTTTAAATGACTTGTCACATTAAAATAAATAATTTGTAAAAGAAAAAATTGCTTATGAGGTGAGGAAATAATAATTTTGTTTAAATAATATATGGATTTTTCGAAAATCTGTGTAAAAAATCAAAATTAATAATTTCCCCGACTTCGATCTTTTAAAATTTTTTAAAAGGCTTCTAACATTAAAATAAATAATTAGCAAAGAAAAAATTGTCATTGAATAAAAGTAGGTAACTTCAGTTTCATAAAATGTGACGCGATCTGAAGAAAGGGACCTTAGAAGCAAAAAATTATAGGTTATGTTTGCAATTTTTTAAATGAAAATACAAAAAAAGGATCAACTGTCAATATAAATCATTAAAGTTTAAGTCTTCATTAAAACTAAAATATTTAATAAACACTGATTTTAATTCGAAATAAGTAAAAAGAAACTTTCAAACAAGAAAAAAGTAACTCTAACCCAACCTTAAAATGATTTGCTTCTAAGGTCCCTTTCTTCAGATCGCGTCACAAATGTTATTAAAATGCTTTTTAAAATACTGGTTTAATAATTGTGAAAAATTCTAAACTTAACTAAATTTTTAAATTTAAAAAGATTTGCTCCTCATCTTTCTTCGGAGCGTATCTCAAATAACCTTACAAATTTTAACTTAATTTTTTGTTAATAATGAAATTAAAAATTAATAACTTATTTTGTTAACAATTTACTTAAAGGATTTTATACTTTTTGTCGTAATTAGCTAAAAACATACCAAAACAATTTTATTTCTGGTTTGGAATTTTTTAAGAAATGGTCTGGAAAACCTGGAAAAGTCATGGAATTTTAAAATCGATGTCTTGTGGCAACCCTGAAATAAATAAGTAAATACACAAGTAAATAAATAAGTTCCATTACAACACAGACAGCGCAGCATTAGCGAGTGAGGTATTTACGTATATTTAAAAAAATTTCAACAGACACTACGTGCATCAACGAACCTTAAAAAATTCAACAATTTATATTATCAATCGTTTATTAAATCTATACATATATGTGATTTGTGTATATGTAGGAGTTTATGTCTGCATATGAGCAGTATACATGTGTATGTAATTTATGAACATGTGTGAGTATACATGTACATGTGATTAGTGTATATGTGTGAGTATACATGTGTGGGTGTTATGCGCGCATGCTTGATATTCATAGAACACTACTGCGCATGCCTGATATTCATAGAACACTACTGCGCATTCCTCACATTGATAGAACACTACTGCGCATGCCTGACATTCATAGAACAATAGTGCGCATGCCTGACATTGATAGAACACTACTGCGCATGCCTGATATTCATAGAACACTACTGCGCATGTCTGATATTTAAAGAACACTACTGCGCATGCGTAATATTGACAGAACACTACTGCGCATGCGTAATATTGACAGAACACTACTGCGCATGCCTAATATTGACAGAACACTACTGCGCATGTGTAATATTGACAGAACACTACTGCGCATGCGTGGCACTAATAGAACACTACTGCGCATGTGTAATATTGTCAGAACACTACTGCGCATGTGTAATATTGACAGAACACTACTGCGCATGCGTAACAGTGATAGAACACTACTGCGCATGTGTAATATTGACAGAACACTACTGCGCATGCGTAACAGTGATAGAACACTACTGCGCATGCGTAACAGTGATAGAACACTACTGCGCATGCGTAACATTGACAGAACACTACTGCGCATGCGTAACATTGACAGAACACTACTGCGCATGCGTAACATTGATAGAACACTACTGCGCATGCGTAACATTGACAGAACACTACTGCGCATGCGTAACATTGACAGAACACTACTGCGCATGCGTAACATTGACAGAACACTACTGCGCATGCGTAACATTGACAGAACACTACTGTGCATGCGTGACATTGTGAATATGTATACATTTGTGTTAATATTATTTTTAAAAGATATACATATATATACGGCTAGGGTCGGTCGGTCGGTCGGTCGGTCGGTCGTTCTTCAACTTAATATAATAAGAGATTTTTGAAAATAATTGAATTTTGGAGAAGAATTTTTTTTGTTTATGAAGATATTTGTTCCGTACGTTTCTTAAATATTGCTTTTAATATTCAATTATAATCTAACATTTTAACTGAAATTCATTTTTAAATCAATTTTTATAAGAAAATTCTACTACAATTCAATTATGCATTTAAATACAAAAAAGACAATTTATTGAATAATTGAATGTTTTTTAAAATTTAATTCTCATAAAGCATTTTATCAACAAATTTTTAAATAATTCAATTCTTTTGACGAATTTTAATAAAAATTTTTAAGAATAATTACATTTTTCGACGAATTCTATTAAAATTGTAAAATTAAAGATAATTGAAATTCTGCGATGAGTTCTATTTATTTATGAAAATAATTGAATTTCTAAAAAGAATTTTACTATTTACGAGAACAATTGAGTCTTGTAAAAATTTTATTATTTATGAAAATAATTTAATGATTGCGAAGAAATTTATCAAAAATTTGCAAATATGTAATTGAATTCCTGTGAAAGTTTATTATTTATGAAAATAATTGAATGATTGCGAAGAAATTTATAAAAAATTTGCAAATAATTGAATTCCTGTGAAATTTTTATTATTTTATGAAAATAATTCAATGTTTGCGTAGAATTTTATAAGAATTTTTTTTAAATAATTGAATTCTTTTGAAAAATTTTATTAAAATAGTAGATATTGAAAATCATTGAATTGAGAAAATTTTTTGCATATAATTGAAAGGATGATCCAATTGAAATTTTACCAAGAAATTTATTAAATTTTTTGAAAATAATTGAATTTCGGAGAAGAATTTTATTTATTTTTTTTTATAAAGATATTTGATATTTTGACGAGAATTTTTTTTTAAATTTTTGAACATAATTGAATTTTTGCAATTATTTGCAACTTCTCCAAAATGCAAATTTTTTTTAGTGTTTTTAACTAAAATTTTTCTATAAATCCATTATTTTTAATTAGATACATATATTAAAGAATTTATCTAATTTCGAAAGAATTTGAAATATTACAATTTTTCAAAAATCTAATTTCTTTAAAATTTCTAATTAAATTAATTCAAAATTGTGTCAACTCTGTTTGATAATATTAATAAATTTAATTATTAAATAATATTTAATTATTATGAAATTATTATTAATTATTAAAACTATTTATTTAGCTACTCGAACGTGTTGTGAAGAATCAATCTACCTCCAAAGAAAAAATTGAAAAACCTGAAACTTCTGTTTTCACCGAAGAGGATCATAAAAACTTTCAACTTGAATACCTGAACGAGGAATAATTGAAAAGAAATTTCTCCAATTCACAGTAAATTATGTTAGATAGTGACCACGAAAAGGGAAAAGCTATTTTAATAGTAACTTCTGCAATTTTCCTATATTACACCATTTGGGTAATTGGCCTCCCATTTATCGATGACAATCGCCTTAGATATTTATTTTTTTCCAACAACACGGCTATAATGATACCGGCAATTACCGGATTTTGTTTAATTGGTGGATTAATGCTTTTTACTGCGTACCACATAAGGCCTTATCTTAATAATCGAAGAATCACAGAAAATAAAAATAAATAGTGATTTGATTTGAATAAAATTAAGAGAGAGAGTGAAAAAAAATTAGATTTCTATTTTCATAGAAAAAAAAATTTTCTTTTTTATTCTTAAAATTCCCGCGCTGATATTAAATACCGAATATATTTAATATCGAGTTTACCATCTTGTATACGAGGCGTAAAAAATTATGTAATTTGATTTATTATCAAGGGTAACCTTGAACTAAATATTCTTTTTAAACGTTTGCCCACAGCTCTTTACTTTTTTATTAAATTAGCCGCAGTATTATTTCTTTCTCTCATCTCGAATAGACAAAATGGAATGGTTAGTGATTGGAATATCGGGTGTCACGTGTAGCGGAAAAACAACGTTGGCCAGAAAACTTCATCAAGATTTTAAAAATTCGATACTATTTGAACAGGACACTTACTTTCTGCCAATTGACAATCCACGACATGTTTGGGTTAAGGAATTGAATCACATAAACTTTGACATTCTTCCCAGTTTGGATATGAAGAAAATGTATTCTGACATTCGTCGAATTCTCGATGAAAAGCCTTTGAAAAGTGTTGTTGGCGCGTCTGAAACGGAAAAAAATATTTTCATTATTGAAGGATTTTTGATATTTGATTACAAGCCAATATCGGACTTGTGTAGTCTTAAGTACTTTCTCACATTGGAGAAAGAAGAATGCTTTAGACGTCGTGAATTACGAGTCTATGATCCACCAGATGGACCAGGTTATTTCGATAAGGTTGTTTGGCCGGAATATGTGAATCATAAGACAGCGATAATGAATAATAAGGAATTGGCGTCTATTCAATTTTGCGATGCATCGAACAGTCAGGAAGAAGTGTATAAAACAGTTCTCAATGATATAAAAATAAATTTAAAGAATTAAAATCAACTCTTATGCTTTCACAATTTTTATTTAAGTATTATTACAAAAATCGTTTTAAATTGTAGATTTTCTTTAAATAAAAGCAAAAACAAACTTGTTTATTTTTGTTTCCTTTTTCTTTCCTTTTTTTTTTACTTGATAAATTGAGCCATTGTTTACGATTTTGAAATTGTATTGTAAGAAATTACAAATAAAACATTCTTCTTAAAACTAAGTATTACAATTCTAACGTTAAAGGCTTTGTTCAGTACTGTTAATTTTTTTTTTAGAACTTGTGAATATTTTTTTTTATTAAACTGTAAATATTAAAGAAATTGAAAAATATTTACAAAACATATTTATATCTGAATGTTAGCAAAATTTTAAATGTTATTTAATGAACGAGAAAAAAAATGCAGTAGATTAAAAAGCAATAAATTCATTTAATGTTTCTTAAAATCTTGGAAAATTTATACGGTTAATAAAATATTGAATTTTAAATTACGATTTTAATATAAAAAGCCATTTAAAACAGGCTTTCTTTTTTTTTTTTTGCTAAAGCATGTTTTTGACATCACGATTTTCTTGACTTTGTAAATAGGACCAAATCTATGCAATTACATAGAGTAAGTGTTATGTTTATGTTGACTTGGTGCTTTTGTGACATTAATAGGTGGAGCACAAGCAGCCTGATCATCCTGATCATTTTGTCCGCATGCTTTTCGAACATATTGAGGTGTCACTATCACTTCCTCTTCCATAGCAAGAACTTTTCTACATAATTCTACACATGTTGCCATTTCCTTTTCTAATTTTGCTAACATTCTAGGTGAATTGTACTTTTCAGGATCGTCGTGGAAGATAACCATTCCGTCTTTTTGGTTGATTGTTGCAAATATGTCTCCGTCTTCAATCTAAGAAAAAAATAATCAAAAATTAATTTTTTTGTTAAAAAAATTGTATCCTAGTTTTTATTAACTAAAATATTAAAAATAAATTAAATTCCTCCAAAGAATTTTGTAACTTATGAAAATAATTTAATTCTTGAGACAAATTTTACTAAAATTTTTGAAAATAATTAAATTCCTTTGACGAATTTTATTAAAATTGCATTTAAAAAAATTGAATTAATAATTAATTTAATTGAATTTCTTAGAAGAATTTTATTAAAATTTTAAAAATAATTGAATTTTTAATAAAAATTTTATTAAAATTTTGAAAATAATTGAATTCTTAGGAAAAATTTTATTAAAATTTCGAAAATAATTGAATTCTTAAGGAAAATTTTATTAAAATTTTGAAAATAATTGAATTTTTAAGGAAAATTTTATTACAATTTTGAAAATAATTGAATTTTTAAGAAAATTTGAAAATAATCGAATTCTTAAGAAAAATTTTATTAAAATTTCGAAAATAATTGAATTTTAAATATTTAAAAATTTCTCAATTACTTATTTATAAAAAATCAATTATCTTTGAACAGTAGAAAATAAATATTTTAAGAATCTAATTTTTCAGAATTTTAAACAAAACTTTTCGAAATTGCAATTTAAAAAAATTAAAATTTTTGTAAATAGTTTTAAAATTAACTACCAAACTAATAAAAAATTGAATTTGTAACTGTTTCGAAATTGAACTATTTCAGATGCAGTTTTGACCCTTATTTACCAAATTATTAAATTAAAATTCTCTAAAAACTTAATTTTATTTTAAATTTTTAATGGAATTTTTTAACAAATTCAGTTTTATAAAATTCAATTACTTTCATAATTTTTTAATAAAATATTTTTGAAAATTCAAATATCTTTGAAAAATGGAATCAAAAATTTTCGAAAATCTAATTTTTTCATGATTTTATATACAAAATTATTTAGAATTTGAATAATTTTTAATATTAATCTGTAAATACTATCAATTTATTTTCAGCAATCGAATTTTTCAAAATTTTTTTGAATTTAAAACCTTTTGAAATTGAATTAATTCTGGAAATTGCAACTGTTACAAACTGAATTATTTTCTAAATTAATTATAATATCTAATTGAAATTTATTCTAAAATTTAATTATTTACTGAAATAAAAAAGACAGTGTATTATTTTAAAATTTACAGTGATTTTAAAGTCCTTAAGCTGGAAAAAAATTAAAGAAAAATTCAAGATTCCCTGATGTTGGCAAAAAATTTTGTGAATTACGTAGATAAAAAATTTAATAATTCAAAAAATATTACCATATTTAAAATATGTTTTTCAGCATCAGCGGGTCCAGCTAATTTAACTCTGCTTGCAACATCACTTAAACTAAGCGTAAGAAAAGTATTTGTGAGCCTCTGAATATTTTTCTTGTACAATGAACCAAGCACTTGTTTCACCAATCCAAGATTATGATCTCTATTGAAGGGCTCTTCATATTTAGTGATAATTGCTTGAATTTCATCGCAATTATTAGTTCCATAGGCAGTAATTAATTCCTGATAAGCTTGACTCAATCGTTTCAAAAATCGTGCCGCTGAACTTGTGAATCTCGGCAAAAATTCAACTTTTCCATTCAAAATTAATGAGACAAGCACATACTTTTTGTAAGCCTCGAGAATTATATGACTCACGGCCATTGCTGGCGTTGTCAAGCAAACTTCGAAGAAATATAAAGCTCTGTCGTAATCTTTTAATGCCGTGTATATCATACCACCATAATAAAAGTAAAGTAAAAAATGCTTCGTATACTCTTCAGATTGTGAACTCATGGCAGTAATGTCAACATCAAGAAACTCGAGAGCTGGCTTAAAGCATTTTGATACAAGGCAAAGTTGACAGAGGTCCGCATGAATCGATGTCAATTGACTATTACTCGTTTGAATCTTGCGAATTGCTCGACAGAAGATGTCGATTCCACACATTGGTATTTGAAAATCCAACAGGAGACTCTTTAGCATGTGAAAAAGCTTGTCATCTAAAAAGAAAAAAAGTAATTACTTTCATAACTAAACTCAATCATTTCATTTATCAATTCAGTTTAAAGTAAATCTTGTTTGTCTCGAAAGTTTTGAACGTTCAAATAAACGAAATTTTTTCTACTTCTTTTAATTTGAAATTTTATTACAAAATATCTCTTTTATATTAAAGATAATCAAAGAAATAAATGCAGGGTTCCAACCAGTGAAAGTATTTAAAAATACGGATTCTAGGGACCAAAAATAAAAATTTACGGACCGTACTGACAAAAATATAACCAATCCGAGGCAAATAAAAACACATTTTACTAAAATGCTTCTTTAAATCGATTATTTTGAATAATTTTCAAAAAAGTTCTTTAACAATTTTCAAATCCATTATTTTTAATAATTTTTGAAAAAGTTCTTTGAGAATTTTCAAATTCATTTCTTTATAATTCAATTTTACGAAATTTCAATTATTCGTAAATTCTTCAATTAAATATAATTATATTAGAAAATAAAAACTTCAAATAATTTTTAAACAATCCACAATTGAACTTATTCAAAAAAATTAATTCCACAAAATTTTTAGTTAAAAATTTAAAAGATTCAGATTATCAAGGATTTTAATTTAAAATCATTTCAAAATTCAATTATTTCTAAAAAAAAAATTATGCTACAATGCTTTTAATATTCAATTATAATCTAACATTTTAACTGGAATTAATTTTTAAATCAATTTTTATTAGAAAATTCTACTAGAAAATTCTACAGACTTTACGGACCTTTTTTCAAAAAACTGACTTTTACGGACCTTTGCGAAATTTACGGACTTAGTTCGATCCCTGTAAATGTTAAATTTCAATATTGAAAGTAGTTAAACAAAAAATTATTCCGTTCATTCAATCGTTCAGACCTTTAAGAGAATTCTTTTTTTACTCTAGAAAAATAGTAATAGAATAGAAAAATAGTAATAAAAATAGAAATTACATGAAGATATTGCAAATCGTATTTGTTCTTCATTGAAGCCATCGATGAATTCTTGAAGTTGTGTCAATACAATTTTAAATGCATCTATGCTGGGCGATTCAGTTGTACTTAAGATAGTTAACTTTGTTAAAATAACAGTTAAAATTCCTAATGAATGTTGATGCAGTCCAAATGTTTCTAAAACAATATCTAAATGTCGTCCATTTCCAAGGAGAGAATGTACAAAGTTGTTGATACGACCCGCTATTTCTGTATAGTTTCCTAAAAGAAAAAAACACCTTATTTTCTGATTATAACTAATACAAACTAAAAACTACAAGAAATAATAAAAACTAGAAAAATAATGCTTACAATCGCTCTAAAAAGTAAGAAATCTAATTGTACTTACGCTCATTTTGTGTAAAATGTTATAAAACTACAAAATGTATAAATCGTATAAATTGTATAAATAAAGACTACAAAAATTTTCCATTTAATGCATTTCATAAATAACATAAAATTTGAAAAGAAAAACAGAAAAAAGTAAACAATCAAACAATTTTATTCTAAATTAGCCGAGAATTTAAATGAAACGATTATTTAAACGATTTATAACAAATAATCCTGAAAATATTAATTCTTTTTTCTAGAGTCATTTTGATCTCTTTTTAGGTTATGTTTTCATCTTAAAATTCATTATAAAAAGTCATTCTCACCATCTGCCGAAAGCGTTCTAATATCATGTACAAATTTTTCCAATCCTATTTCTCCTGACATTGTTACTGACACTTTTTTCTCATCACAAACAGCAATAACTTCGATTTTATTGAAGTTTATTTCAGAACAATATCCACACAAAAGCCGACGATGCTTTTCAGGTTAGTATTACTGCGCATGTTTTTTTTAAACACTGCTGCCAACTTGGGCGCAAAAATTTAAACATGCAAAAATAATTATTGTAAATAAACAATAAAACATTTCTTTAAAAAAATCCTTAAATTAAATTAATGCTTAGGATAAAATAAAAATTAAACTCGCCACATGATATTAACATGTAGATAATTCAATTTGCAATCGTATCTATGTTTTTAATAGTTTTTTTGTAAAAAAAAATTAATAATTAAATTCAAATTTATCAAGGACGTTCAAAATTATTTCAAAAACAAACGTAAACAAAAACATTAAAGGACAGATATAAACAGTTCTTCCTTCTCTAACTCATTGTTATGATTGCGTTTCCGTTTTCTTTCTCAAAAAAAAATTAAATCTCTTCTGGACAGTCCATAAAGATTAATAAAATGTTATTTAACGTTATAATTAAAAATAATAAAAATAGTATGAGTAGAAAAATAATTATCGAACCAGCGGAATTGTTAAAAGAGGGTCTTTTCAGTCTCCTAGTAACGAAATCAAACGAAATTCACTCCTCTTTTTACAATTAATCTTTTCTAAAATTGTAATTATCAATTTTTTTCAATGTCCAATGAAACTTACGATTACATTTGGAAGGAAGCACAAATTCTGCTCGATGAAGTTCTACAATTGGACACAAATACACAAAGTGCGAAACCACCGAAAGATCGTAAAAAAGCCCACAATGTTGCATCGGAATTATACGTCAGATACATTGTTGTCTTCAACAAATTGGAACTTTGTTACGATCAACTCATGCAACCACAAAAAAGAATTTTAGTTAAAAAATCACTCGATCTAACAATGGGAAGAATTTTAGAATTAAAACACGAACTTGTGGAAATTGATTTATCGGAGCACAATTATTTTGACGATATTTTAATAAAATGCAAAGTAACAACACAAGAGGTGGAAATTCAAGTGCCTAAATATTTTCGACGTGAGAGAGAAAATGAAATTTGGGAGAGACGAAAATTTATAGAAGATACCTTGAGAAATATTGGCGCTCTTGATGAAATAATTGATCCAAAGAGAATGACCGAGGCTGAGGCGATACGACTAATTCAGGTAAGAAACAAAATTTTATAGGTTATGTTTATTATCGTTTTTAATTAATAAAGGATTCTTTTTTTATTTTCTAAAACGAAGGACAATTTTTATTGAATGTATTTTGAATCTAATGAAGATTTGAACAATTATTTTGAATACGGAATTAGCCCACTTTATGCATTTTCACTCGAAATGTAACAAACATAACCTATAAATAAGTTTCCCTTTCTTCGCGACGAGATAACACAAAATTAATTCTTTTGGTGTTTTTTAAATAATTGTAATTCTTTTAGTCACACGAACGAGCGAGACAGGGACGATTGAGATTTCAATTTATGAAAGAAATTCGAGAAATGAAAGACAGATCTACAATAAAGCAGGAAAGTGGTGTATCCAAAGAGGAAAGTGATGTGGCTGCAGCTTTGAGGATTCAAAAAATTTGGAGGGGTTACACAACCAGGAGACAAATTCGAAAACGCAAAATTGAAGAAATGTTGCTTTTAGGTTTGTCTGAGAACATAATTCACTTTTTCTAAAAACTCCAATAACGATATAACTATAAAACTTCTCCGGTCAAAACATTTTTGAAATTTATAATAAACTAGTGGAACGTGATATTCAATTTATTATTATTATGCAAATTACAAAATTTTTAATTTTCAAATATTTTTTGAGTAATTTCAGAATCAAACTTTAAAAAAAATTCAATTATTAACTAATTTACTAATTAATTATTCTTGTTTATTAATTTCAAAAATTTTAATAAAATTCTTCTCAAGAATTCAATTATTTTTATAAATAATAACATTTTTCGAAGAAATACAATTTTTTAAAGAAAAATTTTATAAAATTCTTCTCAAGAATTCAATTATTTCCACAGACAATAAAGTTTTTAACTGGAATTCAATTATTTTCTAAAATTTTAAGAAATTCTTCACAAAAATTCAATTATTTTCATAAACAGTAACACTTTTTGCAGCAATACAATTTTTTAAACAAAATTTTTATAAAATTCTTTGCAAGAATTCAATTATTTTTAAAAAAAATTTCAAAAATAATAATAATAAAATAAAATAAAAAAAAATTTATTTTTATTGAACAAAATTTTAATAACATTTCACACGTACGAATACAATTATTATCTAAAATTTTAATAAATTCTTTGCAAAAATTCAATTATTTTAATTACAACTTTAATCAAATTTCATGAAAAAAATTTAATATTATATTTTTTAAAGTTTTAACAAATCTTTCGAAACAATTCAATTATTATATTATTATAAATAGTAAAATTCTTTGCTAAAATTCAATTATATTCAAAACAATTTCACGGAAGTATAAATTTTTTTCTTAATTCGTTATAAAAAATTTCAATAGAATTCAATTATTTTTTAAAATTTTAATAAATTCTTGGAAAAAATTCAATTATAATTCTAAATAGTAAAATTCTTTGCAAAAATTCAATTATTTTTAATACAATTTTAATAAAATTTCATGAAAGAATTGAATTTTTTTTTTTATTTTTAATAATATTTTTCGAAAAAATTCAATTATTTTCTAAAGTTTTAATAAATCCTTCGAAACAATTAGATTTTGTTTATAAATAAAAAAAAATTCTTTGCAAAATTTCAATTATTTTCAAAAAAAATTTCTCGAAAGAATTCTTTTTTTTTAATTCGTTATGAAATTTTTAAAAAGAATTTAATTATTTTCTTAAATTTTAATAAAATTCAATAATTAAATGTTTAATTTCAATTATTAACAAACACGATTATTTTAAAAACTTGAAAGAAATTCTTGAAAAAGAATTCAATTAAAATTTTTAAAAATGTTAACAAAATTCCTCACGAGAAGAATTGAATTATTTTCCTAAATAATAAAATTCTTGGAAGGAATTCTATTATATCAAATTTTTTGATAAAATTCTTTGAAACGCAATTCAATAATTTTCAATAAGTTAGTAGAAAAAACCTAATTTTAAATAATTTTCAGTTCTCCTCTAATATTTGTATCATTTTATACAATAGGAATGGTGCAACCTTGTCAAGAAATAACCGATAACGCCAGACAAGCTGAAAAGATTGTACAATACAGGTAAATGTCGACAGGTTCATCATTATTTAAAAATGGGGTTCGTTCTGAGAGAAATCTTAAAAACACATTTGTCAGGAATAGAGTTTGGAGTAAGAATGCAAACGACCAGCGTAATCTATAATTTTTTACTAATATTTATACCTTTCTTCAGAGTGTGTCACAAATAATTATTATCAATAAATAAAATTATACAATTTTCGTCTTAGATATGAAAAACAACACGAATATAAAGAACAATTTGAAATACTCACAAAGGAATGGAAGGAATCGATACAAAAAGAAAGAAGTGCTCTCATGGAGGAGAATATTCGCCAAGAAATTCGAAATTGGGTGAATTCGTATTTTCAGCAAACAGGCAAAATTCCCGAACTACCGTCAGCAGAGAGTGGAGGTTCCAGAATGATTTTCAGCAGACAGGTAATATAAAGAAGATATTTCATTATTTGTTATTCAATATAAAAATTGTTTTCTAATTTTAGGATTGACACAGGTCAGGGAATTCAGGGAGTCAGGGATTTTTATTAAAAGTATAGTAGAAAAAAGAAAATTTTTTAGAATTTATTAGAAAATTCTGAATTTTGTTGTCTTTTTAGTTTGCTTCATAAACTATGAAATTACCATAAATTTTAATACAAAAACTTTAATTTTTTCAATTTCTAACAATAACTTCGTCTTAAATAACAAATTTTAATAAAATTCTTGACAAAATTTAAATTATCCTTATAAATCAAAAAATTCTCCTCTGAAATTCAATTATTTTCAAAAAATATTTTAAAAAATTCTCTTCAAAATTTCAATTATCTTTATAAATAAAAAAATTCTGATCCAAAATTCAATTATTTTCAAAAATTTTAATAAAATTCTTTGCAAAATTTCAATTATTTTCAAAAATAATAACATTCTTTTTAAGAATTCAATTGTTTTCATAAATTAATAACATTTTTTTTTAGGAATTCAATTATTTCATAAATAATAAAACTCAATGCTGAATTTCAATTATTTTTAATACAATTTTAATCGAATTCCTCGAAAAATGCAATTATTCAATAATTTATTGATTTTTTTATTTAAATAATTAAATTCTCGTAGAATTTTATAATAAAAATGTATTTAAAAATGAATTTTAATTAAAATTTTAGACAATATAATTAAATATTTAAAGCATTACAGGGTGAATTTTTAGAAATAATATTGAATTCTGAAAAGGTTTTAAATTAAAATCTTTGATTTGAATTTTTCATATTTTTAACTAACATTTCTGTAAAGTTATTTTTTGAATTTATTTGAAGTTTTTATTTTCTAATTAGTTTAGTTTTTATTTTATTGTTTTTATTTTTAGTGAAGAATTTTCGAATAACCGATATTTCGTAAAATTGAATTATAAACAAATGGATTTGAAAATTCTCAAAGAACTTTTTCTTAAATTATTAAAAATTATTGATTTAAAGAAAATTTCTAATTGAAAATTGTAGAAAATAATAATTCAATTTTAAATGATAAAAATAATTTTGAAGAAATTAAAGTAACAATATTCTTATAATAAAAAATAATAATTTTATCACTCCGTCATCTTTAATTATTATAAAACACGAAGAATTCGATTGCTCCGAGTCGAAGACTCGGAGTGATCGATATCTTCATGTTTAATAATAATATTCTTCTAAGTTGTTGATTTTAAAAATTTTAAAAATCTTAATTCATATGAAAAAATAATAATAATTAAATATTTATTTAAAAATAAAGTTATTGATGTTTTCGAATAATTTTACATTTAAAGAAATTCGTAAATTAATCCAATAGAACATTTTTTAATATAATCATTTTTTTTAGAGTGAATCAGAATATTTTTTAGAGTCAGGGAAAAATTCAAAATTTTCTCTCGAAATCAAGGAAAAGTCAGGGAAAAAAATTTTAATTTTTGTGTCAACCCTAAATTTAAGTAAACATTCAAATTAAATAAAATAAATGAGGATGTCAATTAAATAAAAATAATGGAAGGGAAAATGAAATTTCAGGGAACAGAGAGCACAATCAGTAAATCAACAGCGGGCTCTTCAAAAGAATCGAAAAGATCAAAGAAATCGAAGACGAAAAAGGAAAACGAACCTGATCGTTCTGAGGACGAATCAGAATCGGGAATAAGACATTTCCCATCGAATTTTCTCCCTCAACTTGTTCAGGCGAATGAGATTTATTTGGAAACGTGGAAAGATAAAGACGAGTCAATGAATCAGGCACAGGGGCCTTATATTGATATGATCCAGGCGGAAAAAACGAGGGAGGTCGAAGATGAAGTGAGACTCGTCGTTGACCATACTCTCAGAGGTCGAATTATAAGTGTTAATTAATTAATTAATTAAATTACTATTTAACAAAAATAGAACAATATTTATAAATAAAAACAAATTTATAAACATAAATAAATACAAAATGTTCCTAAAATTCGGAACGTTCAAAAAACAAAATTTCATAGTTTCTTTAAAAAAAAAAAAAATTTTTTTACGATTTGATGTCAATATAAATATAAAATAAAAAAAATATATTTATCAAAATATAAAATAAAATTAATTAAAAATTAATTTTTTCACAGGCGATATAGAAGCATTGCAGGCAGCATTGGACAGAGACAGAGGTTTTAAGGGAAGACGATCAAAAAAGACCCAAAAACGAGTTCGACGAAGTGGAAAGAAAAATAAAAAGAAGAAAGAAAAAGATCTCACTCCCGATAGAACGTTGGAATCGCTTTTTGAAGAATTATTAGTTAATGGTATCATTAAGTTTTATCCAGAAGTGAAACTCGATAATTTCAAGGGGGAAAAATCTTTTTCTAATTATGAACTTCGAGATAAGGAGAAGGATCCTTTGCCAACTTTAGGTAAGTATATAATATTTTAGGCAAATTTTTTTATACCCACTATACAATGCTTGTCAATTTTGAAAAGATAAAATTTAACATCAATAGAAATATTATCAAATTATCATATAATCGATTACTAGACTTAGTATCAAAGAATCGATTACATAACTATTATCAAATAATTATCTACTTTGATTGATATTAACTCAAAAAAATATATTTGTCACAAATAAATATTTATTTGATATTATAGTCAACTAATCTATTATTTGAATTAAATACATGTTTTTTGGTTTGTAATTTTATCATTCATTCATATAAATTATTATTATTAATATTATTATATATTATTGATCAAAAACTTTTGAAAATAATTATAAATTCCTTCAAGAAAATTCTTCTTTTTTAATTTTTTAATATATACCTAATTGAATTCTTTCGAGGAATTTTATTAAAATTATATTGAAAAAATTGAATTCCCGTAAAGCACTTCATTACTTGTGAAAATATTAAAATAAAAAATAATAAACTGTAGAAATACAAATTCAATTGTTACGAAAAAAATTTAAATTCTTTTGAGGAATTTAATTAAAATTCTACATAGCGAAACATCTTGTATAGTATTTATAAAAAAAATGTATAATTAAATAAAATTGTATTAAAAATAATTTAACTCTTGGCAAGATTTTTATTGAAATTCTTAAAAATAATTGAATTGTTTTCAAGAATTTACTTCAATATTTTTGAAAATAGTGGAGTAGTTTTTAATAATTTTTACTGAAAATTTTGAAAGTAATTGAATTTTATCAAGAATTCAATTATTTTCAATAACTAATAAAATTTTCCAAAAAGTAAATTTATAAGTAATAAAGATCTTCATAAAAAATTCAATTATTTTTATTATTTAAAAAAATTTTGGAAAAATTCTCCCAGAAAATTCAATTATTTTAAAAAATAATTGAATTTTTTTTTATTATTTTCAAAAAGAAAATTAGAATTCAGAAATTGAATTTTTCATAGGAGTTTAATTATTTAAAAAACTTTTAATAAAATTCAATTATTTTAAATACAATTTTAATTGAATTCCAGGGAAAATTAAATTATTTTTAAACATTTTTTTTAATTTTTCGAAAGAATTCAATAATATCAAGAAATAGTAAATTTTTCACAGGAATTCAATTATTTTAAATACAATTTTAATCAAATTCTTCTCAAAAATTCACCTATTTTTTAAAATTTTCCAAAAATGAAATTATTTGTAGAAATAATAAATTTTTTCACAGGGATTCAATTATTTAAAAGAGTTTTAATAAAATTCTATTCAAGAATTCAATTATTTTCAGAAATAATTAAATTGTCGATGTACTGAAAATCATTGAATTCTTGTAAAGTATTTATAAAAAAAATGAAAATTAAATTAAAATATTAAAATATATTAAAATTATTCATAGAAAATTAAATTCTTTAAAACAATTTTATTAGAGTTTTTGTAAATAATTACATTTTTTTTTTTGAAGAATATTAATCAAATTTCGTATAAATAATGAATTTTTTTAAAGTAATTTTAATTGAAAATTTTGAAAATAATTATTGAAATTGACAAAGAATGTTATTAAAAACTTTTAAGAACAATTGAATTGTATATAAATTTTTTATTACAATTTTTAAAAATAATTGAGCCTGATAGAGAATTTTATTAAAATTATCTTGAATGTAATTGAATGTTTTTCTAGAAATTTGATTAAAATTATTGTATTAAAAATAATTGAAATCCTGTGATGAGTTTTACAATTTATAAAAATAACTACATAAATTGTTTCGAAGAATTTTTTATCAGAGTTGTTGAAAATAATTGAATTTTTATTAAAAATCGTCTCTCGCGTATCATTTGCTAGTAATAATAATAATAATAATTAGTTTAATATTAATTATGCAATAATAATTATTAATAAGTAATTTTATATTATTTAAATAATTAATTTCAGGAGATATAAGACAATTGCTAATAGAATATTGCATTCTACCACTTGGAAATGAAATTGTAAGGGAACATACGCCATTAGTGAGATCTGTCCTAATAGCAGGACCACACGGAAGTGGGAAAAAAATGATAGTTAATGCAATTTGCACTGAATTGGGAGCTACTTTGTTCGATATAACACCAGCTAATATTGCTGGTAAATATCCAGGAAAAACTGGCCTAATTATGTTACTTCACTTGCTCTCCAAGGAAAGTTTTCAATATCAATTTTTTCTCAAAATATTTTCAATTTATTAACCAAAAAATCAAAAAAGTATTTCTAAATAAAAATAACTACTCGCATCAAAAATCGTTGTATTTCAGTAAACAATTTTATCAGAATTTATGATTTATAAAAGCAATTGAATTCTTATAAAACATTTTACCAAAACATTTTAAAATCAATTTTTAATCTTTCAAAAAATTTCATTAAACTTTTTGAAAATATGTAATTGAATTGTTTCGAAGAATTTTATTAAAATTTTAGAAAATAATAAATAATAATAATTTTTAATTGTGTAGTTATTAAGTAACATTTTTTTTATTTTGAATATAAAATTATTCAAATATTGAAGTTTACACATAAAAATAAAAAATTCTGTAATTTGCATAGACTGAATGCGTTTAGCGCGCAACTGCGTAACATTTGCTAATTAATATTTTAATTATTATTATAATATTAATATTATTATTTCCTAGTAAAAATTAAACAGTAAAAAATTATTTAAATATTCAATTCATAATAGAATTTAATTATCCATTTTAATTTTAATTATATCCTTTATAATATAAATTATCCATCATGACGTACATACAAAATTGTCCATCACAATATAAATTAATTAAATGCATATATAACAGAATAAATTATTCATCTGGCAGAAATAATTACTAACATCAACTACAATTAATTTAATCGAGAATTAAATACCATTTTCTAACGTATTTTAATTTTATACAGGTTTCGAAACTACTTCAACCTTCTGTCATTTTCATGGATGGTGCAGAGAAGCCTTTTGTGAAGAAAGTGCCAAAATCAGATAAAACCGATCCAAAAAGATTGAAAAAAGATTTATCGAAATTAGTGAAAAATATAACCAATGAGGATCGGGTAATTTTAATTGGTACTTCCAGTTCACCATGGGAAGGAGATCAAAAACTCTTGTACCAAACGTACGATAAAGTTATTTTTATCCCTAGACCTGATTATGGCTCTATGTCATTAATTTGGAAGGAACTTCTTTACAAGGTGGACTTCAAATTTACTTTCAAAAATTTTTTTTTTCATTTTTTATCTCTAATCTTTAATGACAATAAAAATAAGAAATAATTTTGATTTTTTAATAATTTGTTCGTTATTTAATAATCAAAATAATAATTTCAGTACGCTGGGATTAGCAGGCAATTTGATACTTCAGGAATGGCAAAAGTATGCGATGGTTTTACAATTGGAACTGTGCTTTCATCAATAAAAGAGGTAATTAATTAATTACTTAATCAATTAATAATTATTTAATTTTATTCAATTTTTTGCAGAATATTTTTTTTATTTTTCAGAATAAATTATCAAAAAATAATTGTCATAATTTAATAATGATTCAAAAATAGTTAATATTTAATTTTCTGTAATATTTCTATAATATTTCTATATTTTTATAATATTTAAATATTAAAATATTCAATTTAGTAAATTTAAGAAATCAAATATAAGTAATTATATTCTTTTGTGTCAATTTTGTAAATATTAAATTAAAAACATTTCGTTCAATAATAATTGATCTAAATAATTTTCTATTGATTACAGGTAATGACCACAAAGCGAATGGTACAACTGAGAGTTCATCCCTTGACTCATGGTGAACTGGTAAATGCCCTTAGTTCAAGAGATCCAGTATATCGAGAGGAAGAAGAAGCTTTTCTAAGTATTAATCAAATTTACAAACGACTCTATTGAATTCTAAACTTTCAAATGCTTGAAATTATTTATCTCTTTTTGAAATTCAAATTTTATTATAAAAATATTCGCTCACGTGTATTAAAAAATAATGCACAAAGTTTCAAAATATTTAATTTATATCTTTGACTTTTATTTTTTTTTTGGAGTAATTTATGATAATATAAATTTTGTTTAATGCCACAAAAAACAAAACTATTTCGTTAATTACAAAATTTAGAATTTTTTAAACAAAGTATGTAGTCGCAAATCGTTCATTTTATTGGACAGTTTCTTAATCAGAAAATCTTCATAAAGTATAAAATAAAAATTTCATTCAGAATACGAATAAAAGATAAAATTAGTCGACAATTCTACAAAAATAGATAAGAATAAGTAATAAATTTAAAAATAAATGAAAAAATATAAATCCAAGAATATATATTATTGATCACTTCAAAAATATTTACTTAAATGTAAAAATGAATATTAATTCCGAATTATTTACGATTGCAGCTTGGTTTTCAAAAACGCCAACGTGCAAAAAAAGACAACGTATGATCGAACTTGAACTTGAAAAATTAGAAGAGGCGAATGAGAAAAAAAGAAAAGGAAAAAAGAAATAAAACAATCATTCGAAAAAAAACGATATATATCACGAAATACGTATACACATCTATCATTTTTAACATATTTTTCATTAAGATATGCAAAACAATTCTAATTTATGTAAACTAAACTAATATACAATTCAGTGTCAAAACTGAATTCTGCACTGAATGTGAATGATTTTATACACAGGGAAAATTTAACTCCCGCAAAGAACAAAGCAATGGAAGATTATAATTATAATTGATAAATATACGTCTAGACTAATTAACAGTATCAAAAAAGAAAAAAAAATGAATTAATCTTAAACATTGAAAACTTATCAATACAAAAAATTTCTTAAATTAAGAAACTTTTTTTGACGCGTAAAAATCGAAAATAAATGTTACTTCCAAAGTGACAATTAAGGAAAATTAATTTTTAATTACTCTACAAAGTATTTAATAAATAAATATTTAATATTAAATATACATTTAATAAATTCATTTAAAAAAAAGTAATTCTGTAAAATGTAAAACAATTTTTGTATAACATTTAATACTTAATAAGTATTAACAATTATTTAATACAATGTTTCACATTGAACTCATAATTAGCAAGTCAAAATAACTTTTACAAAAATTTATGTACGTACACATTATATGAACAATAAAAATTATCCTGCACTCCGATTTGCGTAAATTATTACGTAAGGAATGTGAGATAAACTGTTAAAATTAAAATATTTAATATAGAAATTGTAAAGTTTGCAAAATATAAGAAATTTTTTTTAAAAAATTTTATCTAAAGAAAATCTGCTTTAAAAAAATGGATAAACGTACATTGATAAAAATTTTTTTTTCTTGTTTCAAAACTTTTAGATCATTTAACGTCAATAATCATTATCTTAATATTTTTAAAATAAATATATCTATAAAAAACTAATTTTTGAAATTATTTACCCACAAGCAAAATTAGAATATAATTGTTTTATCATTTTAAGTGTATTATGATATAATTAAAAAATAATTTTCTCTACTTTGTAGACTAACTTCTTTCGAAAAAAATGGAAACTGATCGAAAATATTGTTTCGTATTTTTAATTTATGTTCCCTCACATTTATTATAAGAAACGATTTTTATCATCATTTTCATATTTATTTATAGAAATTAGGTGAAACACATTTAATAATATTTCAAAAATAAAAGAGATTTCTACTATTTACACAAATGCAGCATTATCATTATTCAAATTAAACATTTTATTTTTATGTGAACCTACTTGAGACCTTTGCTACAATCGTGAAAAAATATATAATCTTATTGATAACTTCCAGATTCTAGAAACAACTTTTGAATAATTATTTTTTTATTCACATATAATTCTAAACTACACAAAAAAAAGTTTTAATTAAAACTAAATTGAATTTTTTTTTAAAGAATTGTACCTAATTAATAATTCAATTTAAATGAATTAATTTTTCATAATCAATATTATAAACTTTGCCTGCTTTGCCTTCCAATTAATTAAGTATTCAAACATAAAAACCAAACGTACAAGTATAAATTTTATTCCATTTTTTACTTTAATGTTTTTTTCTATTTTCTAACAGCTTCTTAATTATTAACTGCAGTTATTATTACCTCATAAATAATAGTAAATGAGGAAAAAAAATGAAAGTGAAAAACGTGTAAAACGACAATAAAACATCAAAAATAAACACGTGAAAAAAGCACATATATACCTTTAAAAAAAGTAAGGTTAGGAATCTGTTTTTTCGACTATTTCGAATTAAAATGGACGCCAGAAACCGAATTGATAAAAATAGTATTTAAAAAAGTTGCATTCTCTCTTGTTCTCACTATCTTTTAGACAAAAACTTGAAAGAAACTATTAAATTTGAAAGAATTGACTGATTAGCATTAACATTGAAAAAGTCGCGCGATATAATTGTCACGAATATGCTAACAGAATTCTGATGTACATTTCAATCAAATGCAACAATAAAAATTCGCTCCTTTCAAATATTTTCGGTAGTCTAATTTTATGATTTATAAAATTGATTAAATTCCAGAAAAGGAATCAACACGTGACAACCACATGTATTTGACATAATGCGCTACGGCACACGTGTATATCGAACGCTTTAGTCAGCAGCTTTAAAAAAAAAATGCTGAAAATTCTCCAAAGAGAAATACGTTGGTATAAAGGAAATACAAAAAAATACAGCTATCTTACCCAAGTATTTATCTCTCTCTCTCTCTATCTATCTTCTTCTAAATTCTTTTCAGCTTGCCTAGAAACCATTTCAGTATATGGGGACCCGTATATATCCTAAAAATTCCAGACAAAAGGTATTATAAAAGGGAGTCATTATTTTAACTTCGACGAAATTCTCCACAGAAAGGGACTACAGTTATGACGCATGCGCAAAATTGAATTTTCTCATTGGCTAGTACCACATGGTCTGATGTCAGACCACGGGGCCGGTCCAATTCAATAATAACGAGATGCTCGGTAGCAAGACGCCAGCTAGACATTAGCGACGCGCCCGTGAAACTTGTATAAGGGTATCGGCGTCTATTAGTGACCACGCGAATCCTCCCTCTCTAAATTCACCATTAATTAAAAACCAATAAATCAGTACAAGTGCGACGAATTTTCATTCTAGAGAAAGAATTTTCAACGTGTATTATATCATATAACCTGTCAAGGATTATATCAACGAGTCAGGTAAGAATTTTCACAGTGGAAAAATTAATTTCTTTATCCCCCTTTTTTTTAACAGTATAGTGTTATTTTTCGAACCGAAAAAAATATCGATTTACCACAGAAATGTCGTAATTTTGCGAAATAATATCATTTTGCATAAATTTTATTAAATTGTAAATTAATAGAAAATGTAAGTATTACCTGTATCAGCCAATAAAAAATGTCGGTTAATATATTTGATATTTGCCAAAATTTGAATGATAATAATAGTGACAGACAAAAATAATTAACAATTATTCCACAAAAGAAAAATTATTTTCACTATTCGTTATAATAGAAAAAATGAATATATAGAAACAAAGAAAAATTAACGGTTAAATTGTTTGAATTTTTAAAAGGTCAGATTTTCTTGGAAAAGTATTTTGATTGTTGGTGCTTTATTTACTGGATAGAATAGCTTGTATTATTGTGAAAGTTTTGCTTTGATTGCAAACAATGATTGTCATCGAAAACAATTTTAACACGTCGAAAAGTCGTACGCTTTCCTCTTCCGTGACGAGTAAATACCGGTCTACTTTACAATTGCAGAAAACTGTGTATGTATATAAGAGGAATCCGTATAATTTTTGCTTTGTGAGCTAAAACCTTTCTGATTGTTACAATCTTAGTGTTTATTACTTTAACCCTGGAGTGAAATAATACGTTTTATCTTTTAGAAAAAAAAGGTTCTCTTTCAATTGACAATATTTCTGTTGTATAGAAGGTTTTTCATAGAAATTAATTTTCATTTCATTCAGCATACTTACAAACATTTTAATCATTCTTTGCAATCAAAAAGTAAATTTTCATCATTTTTTATTTTTCTCTCAATCAATTTTTTTTCAAGCTGTCTTTGGATGAAAAAAATTTGTATAATATCGATTTTTTTTTATTTCGAGAGAAAAATAAAATATAATTAAAGACAACGTGGATTGACGTAATTACCTCTTTAAAAACTATTTTTCACGATTCTCATAAACGTCTAATCAATAAGGAATAGGTAAATAAATAGGATTGAATCACACTGTAAAGTTTGCCAAACCTTTTGACATCTATGACTAAGGAACAAATACTTATTTAAAGATATTATTCTATTCTAAAAATTTTACATGTATAATTATTCTAAAGAAAAAAATTCCCCCCGAAAAGAAAAATTATTTTTAGTAGAACGTAATTTTTAATTTCCAATTTTTTAATTCACGATTTTCTAATTTACAATTTATTACTTTATTAATTAATCTACAATTTATTACTTTATTAATTAATTTACAATTTATTACTTTATTAATTAATTTACAATTTATTACTTTATTAATTAATTTACAATTAAAAAATTGAAAGCTAATTAATTTATTAATTACGAATTAACGAATTTACAATTTATTAATTAACAATAAATTAATTAATTTACAATTTATCAATTTATTAATTGCCAATTAATTAACAATTGATTAAATTTATATTTTAATAATTCAAAGGAAAGTACGAAAAATTAAAATCCATGAAAAAATTAAAATAGAAAATTTGAGTCAAGAAAAATTGGATTTAACCAAAAATCTTTATTGCGAATTGGATTTTTATAATTTCACTACCATAAAGTTTGCTGAATTCCGAATTAAATTGCAAGTGATGCAAACTCAATATTCAGTCAGACACTGATCTGATTCAATATTTTATTCGTGTCATTATTTCAAACTTCTCAATTTTCGGAGTAATTAATTTGAAAAAGTAATTTGAAAAATTAACTTAAAATTTGAAAAAAATTTTCAAAAATTTTCATATCATGTCTTACAAACGTGTATTTACAAATTTCCTCAGTTTTTAATTTATTTTCACCTCAGTCATAGTATACTCATTCATTCATGAAATTTTAATTTTTTTTTCGCAAAAAAGTGAATAAACATTATACTTTCGCCTAACTACGATTCAATTATCTATCTACGCTTTTGTCATAATATAATCAAAAGTGAATATTCTCTTCAGATTTCCTATATTAAATTTAAAAAAAAAATAGTTCAATAGTGCGCTAATAAAATTTTTTTCAAATTAATATTTAAATGAATATCATCCTAATAAATATTCAAATAATATTTTAATTTAATATCTTCTCTGGAAGGAAATATTTTTTATCTGTTTCAAGTTTTCATTTTTTTTCTACAAAAAAAAAATTAAAGTCAATCTGTTATTATTTATAATTATTTAATAAATATTAATATATTTTATTTATTCCAAATATTCCTTTTTTCTAAAAAAGAAAATTAACACAGTCTGTTATTATTTATAATTAATTAATACATAAATAAAAAATAATAAACTTTGTCGTACTAAATTTTCTAAAAATTGTTTTCTTTCAAAAATAATAATAATTAGTAATTTATTAAAAACAATTCATTCCTTTTAATATTTACTTTCAATCTAAATAAAAAATGACAAATATGAATAAAAAACAGTAAATATAAACAAAAACAGTGTTTATAAATAAAAAGTGCTAAATATCAATAAAAATAGTAAAAATAAATAAAAAGAATAATGAATATAAATTGTAAATATTGTAAATATATATTCGAAAATTTAAATAACTATTAGTAAACATTTTTACATTGTAGTGTTTAGTTAAACAATTGTTATATAGTTAAAAATATCCATTTTCGAATTTTTATTGAATCAAAAATAATTAAAATTAACAGCTTCTTAAATTTTCGAATTTTTATTGTATCAAAAATAATTAAAATTAACAACTTCCTACATTTTTGAACGTTCAAATGAACGACAATATTTTTTTACTTCTTTTGATTTGTATTTTTTCAATAAAATATTTTATAAATTTTAGAACAAATTTTATACCAAACGCTTTATACAAAAAAATTAATTCGTAACGAAGTAATAGTTGATTATTTTTAATTATTTAATTATAATTACCGCTATTGTTTTAATTTTTTTATAGTAATTTTGAAAAATATTTAGATATAGAAAAAAATTTATTAAATTAAAACAAGTTATTAATTTATTTATTTAATTTATTAATTATTTTTAATGTTTTTATTATTATTATTATATTATTTAGTGATTTTGCTTTTGTTTAGTAATTTTGAAAAATATTTAGGTAGGAAAAAAATTTCGTTCAAAACTTTAGGAGAATAAATTCGTATTTCTGTTCTGCAATCGAAAGTATTTGTCCCACTGTAAAAGTCGAGATCAAATTAAATTAAAAGTAACTAACAGCTTGTAAGTTAGATGTGTGTTTACTAACATAGCTGACCCTCAAAATCACACGAGTCTAAAATTCTAAAGGATTATTTTCTAATTCACTGGGTTCAATATTTAATTTTCAATTGTCACTGAATTGTCATAATTACGCCAAATTGTTAATTAGTTAATTAATTGAATAATTAGTAGATAAATTTCAGGTTTCTTTTTTTTTTTTTAAATTAACATTTACATTACGTATATAATTGACCTCATTGAACTCGGAAATCGAACGATTTCAAGCAATTAATCTACATACAATGAAATCTAAGTACCTGACTCAATTTAATTGATAGTGCGTTAATAAATTTTGTAGTAAGCATTTAAAAAATTTTTTTTGTACACAAAATAATTAATTTAAACGCACATTTATAACAGATTTTAGGGAAAAAATTAACTGTTGTTTTTTCTCTTTTTTAAATTGAATAACTTTTTTTTTTATGAATACAACTCAATAGTGCACTAAACTATAAAATCTATAAATTATTCAACATAACTCTAATTCTATTCAAAAGACTTATATAATAATGATATTATGCCGATAACGGATTTGCTCCGATCATTAATATTATAGAATCAAGTTCAAGGTTAAGATTTTTTTTTTTACAAATTTCTTTAGATTATGGTATATATTTTTTTTGAAACTTGTGTAGAATTAAATAAAATCTGAATAATAGAAAATAATATTATTGAAATAGTGAGATTTGAAAATGACAGGTTAACGAAATATGTGTCACAAATATAAAAAAAAGAAAGAAGGAGTTAATGACACGGCTCGCTACATTCTAAGTGTGTCATTCTCCGAGTTCTAAAATACATTTTTTTACCATAGTCAGCAGCACGTGTATAAAGTGTTAAAAAAAAGATTCGAACTTAATTGTAAAAACGAAAAAAAAGTTTTCAAATAATGAAAATAAAGTTTGACTAAAATTTTGAAGTTCGAATGAACGAATTTTTTTCTCATAAAAATTTTGAACGTTCAAATAAGTGAACTTTTTTTCTGTTGAAATATTTTTCAAAAAATTATTATGAATGAAAATTCATCATTTAATTACTTCAGAATTAATTTTTTCAACGAAAAATAATATTTTTTTAAACAAAATACGAATGAAAAAAGTACCAAAAAATATTGTCATTTATTAGAACGTTCAAAACTTAGCGACACTTCTGTTACAATAATAATTATTATACTAAATTGAAATCAAACTTTTAATAGTTAAATTAAAAATTAAGTTATTACACCTTTAAAAATTAATTTATTTAATAAAATATTTTTATGTTTTAAAACTTTTGATAGTTCAAAAGAACGAAATATTTTTTTAATAAAAATATTTTCTAAATTTACTCACACTGACTCGTTCATTTAAACGTTCAAAACTTTAGGAACATAAAATAGTAAAATTTATTAAATTAAAATGAAAATTTCTAGAAATTAAAATTTAAAAAAAAAATATTGAAAATAGAATTTTGCAAATAAATTTTGCAATTCTTCTTTGAAGAAAAATTTGTTTTTCTATGCTATTTTAATTTTTAATTATCTAATCATTTTCAATAAGTATATTCTTTATTATTTAATTATACCTTAAATTATATAAAGGTCTTTGGGTAATTTATTAATTTTAAATTTTTTATTATCGCACATGTTTATTTATGTGGATGATTTCTATTATTGGGGTTCTTAAATTGAATCTCTATGGGGTTCAGGAACACTTAACCAATTTAATTCATAAAAGCAG